AGACAGGAAGTGTAGAGCAGACAAGAATGTAGCTTGTATCTTGCCCCTTAATTGGACCACAAGACACTATTTCAGTTACGAAAGCTTTCCCAAGAAAACCTGACCTGAAAACATGGGTGTCGACTTAAAACTGAGACCCAAGACTGAGAAGGGAGACCACAGACTCACAAAGACAGGAGTAAGTGATTCCCCTGTCAGGTCCCAAAGCTCCCCATTTGTTTAATGATCCATAAGGCCATGGGCAGGCTGACTAGAGATTCCTATGAGGAATAGCATAGGTGTACATGCCCCTTCTCCTGATGCCCCCATGGCCAATGAGGCAAGACACCTCGCCTAGAGGGATGCTCCTACTTTTTCCTATAGAAACCTAGCAACTGCTAGTTCACTACTGTAGTTTCACTACTGTGGTATGCTGTGAGGTGAATGTTCCATCCTTCCAAACATCCTTGTCTGAAGCAAAGATACAAAAACAGCCAAGAGTAGACTTGATCATCAGGAGGAAAGCCCAGGCTTGAGTGGGTGGGACCAAATGGTCAATACAGTAGGGCAGATGGCTCCCTATCCTTGGAACGTGTTTTAGATGAAAGATAAGGCTTGACCTCATTACCTGTTCATTTCTATCACCATGATTGATGTTAGAGGCAGTACTAGCGACCTGGACAGTGCAATAGCTCCACCAGTGGGCCCTGGGACTCTGAGTATAAGCCACATTGTCCTTTTGATCAAAATGCCACCCCAGTCCATATGTCACCCAGTCACACACGCATCTCTTTTGACCAGGTACTCTGTTCTGACTCCAGCCTGGGGAGACACTATGGGAGACTAGGCCATAATTTCAGGGCTCCCTCTGTTCCCCCTCAGCCTCCCATCTTGTGAATACAACTGCCGAGTCAATATCCATTGTTCAGGTAAATGCAGACTTGATGTAGAAAATTACTAGTGTGAAACTTTTGTAAGATCCCCAGATTGATTTTTTTAAAAGAAAAAAGTCAGTCTTCGCGGCGCCAATTGAGCTAGAAACAGGGTTAGCAGGCCACTGTGTTGTGGAAATTAAATCAGCACGAATAGGTGGGGAGCACGGCCAGTCTCATACCACACAGGGTTTCCTTGAGAAAACCCTTTAACCACATTTGACCCCAGGCACTGTCTGGGGCTTTTGTTTCTCAGCCAGTGTGTGCTTTATCACCACCCATATAGAAATTAGAGGGGAAATGCTTCAGGTTTTAATTTCATACCCGGCAGTGCAATTATATTGAAATGAAATTTAGTGCAATATTGAGTTGTCCTATAAACTTATCTATGGTGAGAGTCATATGCCCTGGGAAGGATTGATTTCTGTCAATCACGATTTAGGATGAGGTTGCTGTAGCGACGTTTGCTAGCTTACGGTTGGGCCCAGTTCCCCGTCTTTCCAGGCTCACAGAAGTCCGCCTGTCTTGAGCAGCCAAGGTTTGCTCTATGAACAGCATGTTTCAAACACAAGAAAATGGGCATCTGAAGTCCCGGTATTTGGAAATTGGAATGTGAAGGTGATTCATGAGTTTTCTATCAATTATTAGGCAGTCAGAGACAGAGATAAGTAGAGATGGATGGGACAGTGAAGTCTTCCAGCTCTACCTAGCTGCTTAGCGGTGATAAATGAGTCAGGAAGCAGGAAAGTTCAAAACAGATATCAACTGATCTGCAGCAGCCTCCTATCCCCTCCAGGTTGGCTGGTAGGATTCTAACAAATCAAAAGTCTTTGAAAGAGGATAGAGGAATTGCATGCTCCGGCCATTCAAGTAGCTCTTTCTCTCGCAAGGTTCTCAAGGAAGGCAGAGGCCTGAACAATGAGGACAATTGCAACATAAGTGAGAAATATTTTATGGTCTAGGGCAATACCTTATATTTTATTATGGATGGTTCTAGTGGTGCTGGCTGGGGTTATGTGATTTCAACTTGAATCCTGTCCTATTTTCAGTGATTTAGATTTTAAGGAAAGACATTTCAGAGTCTGAGTAGAGTCACGTCTTCACAAGTAGCTTTTGCTTTGCTGAGAGTGGCCTTTTGTTGAGAGATGAACCAGGGCTCATGTTTGAACTTAACTATGTTGATACCTAACCTCACCCAAAGGAAAGAGCTCACCCTCAGCTCTCGGTGGAGAGGCTGCCTAGCCCACAGTCCAGAGTTCTGTGTGTCAACGTTGCTGCCCAAGGCAAGGGCATGAGCTGCACAGAAGCAGAACATTAAAACTCAGCCCCAGTGAGCCAGACATGACGGCACACACTGGTAACCATGACACTCCAGAGGCTGGGGCAGAAAGATCAGGAGTTTGAGGCCAGGCTTTAGGCCATTTGGCGAGTTCAAAGTGAGCCTGACCTGCATATCGAGGCCTATCTGAGACAACGCAAAACAAAATAAAGGTGAAGTGAAGTTGACATGGTTTGTTCCTAGCCAGGTCTCCCTACCACCTTGTCATTGCTCACACATCCTCTGTCTCTCTATGTCTGTCTCTATCTCTGTCTCTCTCTCTCTCTGACTCTCTCTGTTAGTGTTTGAACAGTGTGAGAGTCATGATTCATTACTTAGGACTTGACAGAAGCTAGAAAGAGAAAAGAGACAGTTGAGCCCACCTTATGTTCTAAGCAGATCAGAAAGCTATTTCTGTCCTCACAGAAAGGCCAGAAGCAGTAGAGATGCTGGTCGCACACACTAGCCCTCGGTACGTCTCGGAGAGAGCATTCTAAGGCAATTGCCGACAGCTAGCAGCTGACTTCTGTCCTCCAAGCAAAGAGTAAACTGTTAAGATACCCGAGCTTTAAGGAGGACAAGTGGCCAGTTCTCCAGCCATGCTCTGCTCTGCCTTCGTTTGTGAGTTCCTGATTTAGGAATTGGCCTTCCAAGCTTAGCAACCATGCTGCTTATTCTGTGCTTCATTTCCTGAGAAAATGGAATTGATTTCCAGTTTAGATCAATAAGGAATGAGGTTGACTTATCTACATTGAAGATGGTTAAAAGCCAGAAATCATAGACACTTGACCCACAAACCACATGCAACCCATAGATGAGATTAGTGTGTGAAGGGGATATGCCTGTGTGAGCATGGTATTTGTATAGATGTGCAAACACACCCCCATGTGTCAGAGGTTGTTATCTGACATCTTCCTCTATCTCTCTCTATATTTTTAATATTTATTAAAATTATTATTTTACAGTTTGATATATATATGTAATGTATTTTGATCATACATACCCTCTCTTATCCCCTCCCACTCATACTGAACCCCTCTCCTTCCTTATTTTTTGAGATGAGTCTTTCACTGAACCTGGGGCTCACCAATCGGCTAGACTAGCTGGCCAGCGAGGTCCCAGGACCTCCATCTCTACCGCCCAGTGCTGAAATGGGAGATGGGAATGCCACACTATCCTCCTGTGTGAGCTCTGAGAGCCCAAGTTTGGGTCCTCAGGCTTACACAATAGGTACTTTACCCGCTGAGCCTCCCCCTCAGCCTGCAGACAAGATTTCCTTTATTAGCCCTGAACTTGGTGACACACCCCCAAACCTCGGTTCTCAGGAAGGGGAAGCAGGAAGCTGTCAAGTTGGAGACTAGTCTGCAGTATCTCTGACATCAGGTCAAACCTGGACTACCCAGAGAGACCCTGTCTCATAACAGGAAAAATTTATTTCTACTGTCACATGTTGAAAAAAATATTGTCGGTATATAGAATTTGCGGTATTTACATTAAGATGTAGATGTCTGGGTGCCAATTCCTTAAAGATTGAGGAGCTCAGACAGCATGTGCCATGTTGCACCTGCTCCTTAAAAGGGACTGCTTTTTCCATGTTCTTTTCCCTGTGGAGTTTGAACTGACTACTGATGGGGTCAAAATAAAATGTATGACTCTCTCTACTTCTGCACAAAGGGTGAGAATTAAGAATATTTTCATGTATGGAAAAGACACTGCTGTCAGGTGGGAAATTTTATGTCATTTATCTAACTAATGCCGGCATACCAGGAGCATCCTAATATGATGATACACAAGCAAGAGATGAGACTTGAGTTCTTTGGAACTGTTGCCATGGTTTTCCACCTTGCCCTTGCCTTTGCTGTCATAGGTTCAAGCTTCAGCCGGTCCCCCAGTCAGAGGCTTAATCACAATCCTTTGCCTCTCTTGTTCTTTTTCCTTTCCCTTCTCTTTCAGGCTCTCTCCTCCTTATCTCTAAGCTCATTTGTTCCCTCCAATTGCTGATGTCATGTGGGGGAAAGATAGTGGGGAAATGAACCCCAGACATTGTCTCAAAAACTAGCCCTAATAAATCCAGTCGTGGGTGATTCACCTGTCTTTGCGCCACCGGGGTGACCCGCATTCAAGCTGATGTTCCCTCTCCACTTATGGATGCTCTGTGTTCCTAGCGCCTGCCCCTTTCTCTGACCTTGTGACACTGCCTCTCCAGTACCCTGTCCTGGAAAAAGGGAGTGATCACTAGGTGAGGTTCTGGGCTGAGGCAAGAGGGAGAGCCTGGGTGAAGTTCGAACGCGAATGAGATATCCCAGCGACCCCTGTGCTCTCTGTGCTTGGCATCAGCACTGACATCCTCAGGCTGCTTCCCTCAGTTATCAGAGCCAGCGCCAACCACCCCACTGACACCTGTGTGGGGACTTCCTAGAGTGGAATAGGGGCCTGTGGACAGTGAAAGTTAGCAAAGGAAGCCGCCATTTCCATGAGGGAAAAAAAAATCACTTTCTCTTCCACAAAACAAAGGGTGTGAACACGCCTTGCCCCTCAGTTTGCCTCAGATATTCCAGGAGCAGCCCAGAGTGCAGTGGGGGCCACCTAGGAAATTCGCTTTCCCAACTGCTGCTTCAAGTGGTACTTAAAATGCAGAACATAAAACCCTGTAAATTCCACTGCACAGCCGGAGCCCTAAGCCCTTAAATGCACAGGAAAGTGTGTCTATTATCTACCCTTTCGAAGTAAGTGTGCCGTTACTCAAATTGCTTTTGTCTTCTTCTTTTCAGCTGACATTATCTCTACGGTAGAATTCAACCACACGGGAGAGTTACTAGCGACAGGGGACAAGGGGGGTCGGGTTGTAATATTTCAGCGAGAACAGGAGGTAAGTGTCAGCCACTTGGAAATTCTCATTTTCTTCCCTTTTTAAGAGGAGGCCTCCCACTGTGCCTTAATCCTCACGTGTCTGTCACCCTTAACCTTGCCTTGTCTCTTTGCTCACCAAAGTAAAACTGCCAGAAAGTCATTAGCATCCGCAGTTCTAAGTTCAAGCTCACAAAAGCACCCCTAAGAGGGCTCTCCCCGGGCAGGGCTCCTTCTGCATAGTGAACCTTGGAAAACAGCAGCTGTTCTCATCTGACCTGCACAATTCCACAGGTGCTTCTGGAGGAGCAAACTCCAGCTGTTGTCTTGGGATCTGTCCTCCGGGTGTTGAAATCCCATCTCCCTTCATTTCAGGTACTGCCAGAATACATCTGGGAGAGGAAAATAGCTTTATTTGACAACAGCTGTAAGGAGGGCATGTCGGGTCAATAAAGAAAATGATGCTCAGCCCACCAAAAGGGTGAAATCCTTCAAAAGGGCTTCTCGGCCCAACAGATGGCACGTTAGTGTGGTGCTGGGTATCGTCTCTCATGCCACGTCTGGGGCTGGTTTCTTCCTGGGGCTTGGGTTCCACTAGAAATCCTCTTTCCCCCACATGAGTTGAGGATGCTCCCCCTCCCAGGCCTGTCTCTGTTTTCTCAGAATGGCCCAATTTGGTTTCCTTGCCCTCTGCTGGCACACTCTAGTCCTGCCAGCAGGGTAGTGTGTGTTTTAGCCACTCTCCCATCTGCCACTGTCTTCCTCCGAGATTCCCTGGGCACTGGGGAGATGTGGGGGAGGCCTGGTGTTAAGAGGAGGACTCCACAAGAGACTTCCCTAGCAATTTAATGCCCGCCTTGTGCCTCCAAGCCATTTGCATTACACCTCCCCCTCCAAAGAGGAAAGCCTCATTTAGGGGTGATATATTTGGTAATTGCACGTTATTTGCAATTAATTTCTATAAGGGCTTCATAATCCCTTGGGGGTTCTGTGTAAATTCAAGTACTCAGCATTAAATCAGGCACCCAGCCTATTACATTGGCCCCAGAAACATGAAAATGTAGTTGGCAAGTAAGAACTAAATCGCTCTTCGTGACCTGGAATTTTTCCTGCTTTTTCCAGAGCTGTCTGGTGCTAATTGGTCTGGCACATGCTACACACACTTGACAGTCTGATTTGGATGGTAGCAAATCAAGCCTCTGAGAAATTTTTTGTTAAGGTGGACCGGTCCTCTGTGAGTTAGCAGGAGAGCATCGAGGGTGTCAGCATCTGAAGTCCTTTGAAAACTGATTTTCAAATCTCCAATTTAAAAAAAAAAATCCAATTAGGTTCACAGCTATGATTAAGGGGAACTGGAAGAGCTATTTAGCATAAATTACCCAAGGCTGCATGTCGCCAGTAATATTCCACCCCGCATTTCCTGCTAACTATTTATAGGTTTCACCTATTCTCATTTACGGGGAAATTTGGGAAGCCTGACTCATTAGGAGAATGATGGGGGGGCACACCTTCCAAAGCAGTATGGGTGGGTTCACCAGAACACAAACATCAGCGAGGATGAGATCATGGAGTTCAGTGTTCAGCTTCCGCAGAGTTTGGGGCTCAGGCACATACATGGCTTGTCTGACAAAGACCGTGTGGCATCAGTTGAGGCCAGTGACCCTTTAATAGTGTTATCACTCCCGCCAGAGCTGCTCCAAAGGACCTCAGTCCTCAGTGTCTGCAGGCCACTAAACTCAACAGAAGTACCCACTTCCAGGCAAGCTGAGACACGCCTCCGGGTGTCCTGTTTCCGTTTAAGATCATATATTTTAAATGGACCCTTTTCTTTAAAAATCAAACTTCTATTTAAAATATGTTTAATGAAACCCAAATTTTAATTTTTGAACAGATTTTTCAAAGCCAAATCTCGAGACACGATTTGGGTGGCACGGTTCTAAAATACCTGCCATCCATCTTCCCTATTGTCTCTCTCTCTCTGTCCTCTTCAAGAGGCTTTTTCCTCCTCTTCACCTTTTTCTGTGACTTCAGGCCCTTGGCTTTGTGCTCCTGTGTCTCATCATTTATTTAGTGCCTGCTGTTTGCACTTTGCATAATTAGTGCTAGGGGAAAGAAGGAGGTAAAGTCCATTCTTCTCCTCCTGATGCAGATGGCACTCATGTGCAGATGGCCCTTTCATCACGACACTGGATAAAATGGAGGTGGGAGGAACCCATGTCCAAATCCGCACCACAATTGCTGTGTGACTTTGAAAGAGTCACTTACAGCCCTGAGCCTCTAGGGTCCCTCTCTCAGATCTGCCTATGTCTCAGCGATCCCGTGAGCACTGAAAGTTGCCACCACTCTGTACCTTTCATAGGGATTGTTATAAGTATGTGTGAGCATCTGCAGATTCGAATATTAGATCTTCTATTTATATTGATTGCAAAGTCTTATCCTATTTTAACTTGTTTCCTTTCCTTTTCTTTTCTTTCTTGCTTCTTTGTTTTCTGTTTGTTGTTTGTTTTTTGTTTTGTTTTGTTTGTTTTTTGACAGGGTTTCTTTGTGTAACAGCCCTGGCTGTCCTGGAACTCTCTTTGTAGACTAGGCTTGCCTCAAATTCAGAGATCTACCTGCCTTGCCCTCCCAAGTGCTGGGATTAAGGTTGTGCACCACCACACCCGGCACCTTCTGTTTCTATGTATATGTTATGATATACACTTTGTGTTAATATAGTTTAAAGATATCATTTATAAAAGTGCGTAGTGTGTGTGTGTGTGTGTGTGTGTGTGTGTGTGTGTATGTTTCTGTTATTAGCCAACAGAGTGCATGCTTTGGGAACCAGTACACTAAAGCTGAATCTATGACTGCCATGATCTTGGCCTCCCCACGCTGTGATGTAGCCTGCCAGCCCACCCCTAACCGCTTTGCTCAGAGGGAAAAAAGAGTTGGCACTTGCTTTAAATGGTCTTAATTTTCTATGTGTGTGTTCTACCGTCCTACAGAGTAAAAACCAGGTTCACCGTAGGGGTGAATACAATGTTTACAGCACATTCCAGAGCCATGAACCCGAGTTCGATTACCTGAAGAGTTTAGAGATAGAAGAAAAAATTAATAAGATAAGATGGCTCCCGCAGCAGAACGCGGCTTACTTTCTCCTGTCGACCAATGGTATGTGCAAGTGATTTCCTTTCTCATGTTTAATATTTTCAGAGACAGTCAACCAGACCTGTAAGACTCTCTTAACCTCAGTGTTCCTCCGTCCCTTAAGGGCTTGTGAAAAACTTAGAAACCCTGTTTGCAAGATGTTTAGCAAAAATCATGGCACACGCAGAGTTGGGCTCAGTAAATAGTAGCTATTCTTTTTATAAATATCCAATTTATGACCCAATTTTTGTGGAACCCGTTATCTGCAGTTTCCTAATGGAGATTGCTTGCAGGTGTTTGAGGGGGTGTGACTTCCTGTCTTAAGATTCATCGCATGTTATTCTGGGAACGCATTTCGGGAAACTCAACATGCCGTCGGCATTTTGAAAAAATAGTTATTAATCCCTGAATATATTTTAGGGCCTGCAAAACAGATGTCTGTGTATCTGCGAAAATCAAGTTCTGGACCAGGAGCACAAGACCAGAGGAGCTAGGGATGCTCCCTAAAACTGATCAAGAAAAAGTCTCTTTATCTGCCTTCAAACTCTCCCTGTTCTATAGGTGTAGGGAGAATTGATAACCCATAGAGAAGAAAGGATGCTGGCAGGTGAATAAAGCCAGGTCCCATATTCACTCCGAATTCAGAATTTTAACCCCTTTCTTGAGGGTTAAAAAAAAAAATTCCAAAACCAGTTTGAAATTCAGTCACTACTGAAGAATGCTTAACAGGAAAGGGTAACACGAGGATTAAGAGAGAATTACAGACCGCTGCCCAAGCAAAGAGGTTAAAGAATGACTCATTTCATCATGTGTGTGAGTCTGTGATGAATACATGCTTGTATGTCTCAAGAGTCTCGCATCAAGTACAGAAAAATGCAGGCAATGTCTAGGACACAACCAAGCATATGATCTTGTTAAAGATGAGAAAGACACACAGCCAAGGGCTTCCTGTTACTAAGCCTTGACTGTTCACTGTGGGTCACTTGTAAATTTGTCCCTTTTATCATATTTAATTTTGAAAGTATATACTGTGAGTCATAGGTCAATCTTATAGAAAAAAGGAGAAGAGAATGTAAAGCAGATGATCCTCCAACCCCTCCAATATAAAGCCAGGGTACAGATCTGAAATGTGACCACTCTTGATTAGCTGTTTGGGAGTGATTCAAGCGTGCCTCAGGATGATCAGGTGTCTATGTCTCTGATTTTTTTTTTTATATTCCAGTTAATTTCATTCCTTCTTGTAACTGCTTTTATTGTTCTGTTTACCCTTTGGAACCCTGATCTCTTGGAGGCCAAATCACCTCATCTTATTTCCATTTATTCTCTTGTGATTTTTTTTCTTTTCTGTTCAAGTCTCACTCCGAGACTCTGTTATCACACATTACTGTGAAGGAGACTTATGGTGGGTTTTCATGTAATTAGTTCAGTATCGAAGAAGTGTCTGGTTGTCTTCCATATCTAGGTTACATTATAGTATGAAATTTAGCCTATTGATTATTGCAATAAAATCCAAAGGCTTATTAACTACTTTGTGGGGGGGGGGGATGGGAAAGAAAGTGAAATTCAATGAAGATTAATTATATAGCATAATGTTCTGTTAATTGAGTTTTTAAATAGTTTTTTGATTAACAAGGATATTATCTTCCCATTTGGGATGCTATTTCAAATGCCAATTGCATCTCAGAATGACTCTTCGAAGAAAAATTCCCATGTTCATATGCGCTTTTCTTTTCTAAACTAATATTAAGGTTGAACATCTTCCCCTAAGCCAAATAGGTTAACATTCAAAAATTAGTGGAAGACAATGGGAATTACTATATAAGAGAGAAAATGAAGATAAATGATAAGGTTGTGTTTAAAGCTGCCACAAGTGATGATAAACTACTCAGAGAACAAGGCAAGAGAAAGGAAAAGCCATTTCTCACATTAACAGCTACATGCTTCTTGGGGTTCCCCCCCACACACAAAGCTTCAAGATTTCTGAGTCAAATGAAAATGCTGTGATAATATAGGCAAGTATGACCCCAGGCAGCACAACCTTGGGGAACTGGATTGAATTCCATCAATTATCTTTTTGGAGGGAAAGGGTGCTTATCTCATTAGTTGAGTATAGTTACTAATTCTACTAGACTGTGTCCTCAGCGTCGTAACTTTTAAAGACAAATAAAGCGAGCATTCCATAGTGAAATAGACCTTGAAGAGATCTGCCACACAAAGACACATTGCTCTGCTTGGGTTACTCCTCCTGCCTGACTGCTTATGTCAGGCAGAGCACTACGGTGCTCATTGTGAAAATTTAAAAAATACCCAGACACAAAGCAAAGGTGTTCAGGTACGGGGAGAACTACTACTCATGTCTCTTAAAGAAAAAAAGACATAAATAATGTTCTATTAACAGAAATATGATCTCTTCTTCAAGGTGTTTTTAAAGCAGGCTGTTAAATTTAATAATACAGCAACAAGAATGTTTTCCTAACCGATATTTTATTAAAATACTGCATAATTTTTAATGACTGCATATGACTTCCTTGTATGGTCTGATTCTTCTGTGTTCTAATGACTTCTTATTATTTCCTCATGTGATTTCAGTCTTCTGTATCTTAATAATAAGTCTCCCACTGTTAGATTTATAGTTGTTAACAGATTCTTACTACAAATTATATATCCTAGAGAGTACTAGATTACATGTAATAGCATCTGTAAACACAGTATGTGGATAGCTGTTGGTATAAATATACAATCCAGATATCACCTATATAGTATAGGGCTTATTAGAAGGCTTAAGTCAGGAAATAGTGGAAGACTACAGAAACTGTACACCATAATCTTAGTCCACTGGAACTGAGAGAAGCTTTTCTTTTCTAACTTTTCTGGTCATTTTCACTTTCCAATTGCAATGGCATGTACCTCTTATATAATAAAAGAAAGAAACTGATTAAATGCATAATGTTATTATAAATACTTACTATTATTGTAGTTCCTTACCACAAATTACTGCATACAGAAAATATAGGAGTATGCACAAGAGATGGCCATGGGGCAGCACATCTTTAATCCCAGCACTAGGCAGGCTGATGACGTAGGTCTCTGTTCCAGGACAGCCAGAGCTACACAGGGAGACCCCATCCAAAAATCAAAAACAATATATACAGAACGCTGATTGTGGTTTATCCCTAACTGGAGGTCATACAGGCAAGTTTGATCCTGGTGTTTTGCTTGTGATTTCTATTTTTCTCTATGGCAATTAATCATTTAAAATATAAAATACAAGATAAAATGCCTTGCAAGTAACTAGATTTGGACACGCTTCAAAGACAAACAACAGCAAGTATTTGGTGATGAAGTTCACTGGCTTGTGGGTTGTTCTCAGCCACAGCTGATGAGGAGCAGATCAAGTGACTGCATAAATACGGTGGTCCATGTTTAACCTTCTCGCTCTAAAAAAAGCAGCTTCACGTGAGCAGGGTCTCAAGAGAGCTTGGGACAAGAGGGATGTGAGCACAGAGCTAGAAAGTTCTAAATTCAGCCCACAGCTTGGAAAGGCCCTCCTCCCAGCACATGGATGAGAACCATGGATCCTGCGAGGAGCAGCCTCACCAACCATGAGAGGATAGGCTTGAGAGCCCAAATAATACCCGTGTGTATGGAGGTGGGTTTTCACTAAAATATCACTACTGCTGCTGAGAGCCCACAGCATAGTACTTTTGAGATCTCTAAGAACAAGATGTGAAGGTGTGAACTACTGAGGAACCGTGTGCCTTTGCTGGCAAGAGTGGTCCTCCTAGAAGGGAAGACCTGGGAGGTGATAGTGTGGAGCCTGGTGAGCAGTGGAGAAATGAGACAGGACAGAAGGCCAAAGAATCCCATTAAGAGCAGTTTAGCGGGTCAGCTTTTCTCCCCCAGAAGACACGGATGTGTAGACATCCTTGTGGGACGACGCTCAAGGCAAGAGCGTACCCTGCTATTACTGTCGAGTTGTGGCTCGGCGTTGCTAATTCTAATGACAGCTGCTGTTTAGACACCATGTTGAGAGATTAAACTTGCTGATTCATTTTATCCTAAGATTCCCATGAGAAAGATGGCATTTCCACCAGTGTATAATAAAACGGCATGCAGAGCGACACCTGTGGAATATGGAAATATGTGAATGTATACTGAACTGAGATTTAAGTGGGCACTCTGCACACCCTTATCTCCTTACGATCATTCCCCAGGACTGTTTTGTGTGTACCTTCTTACAAGGACCATAGTCCTTGGCCATGTAGCAGTTGAAAAAGAGAGAGATGGGGGGAGGGGAAAGAGAGAAGGACGTAACTCTTCCTAGGTATGTTGGAGGAGATTTCTTGTAGATATGAGGAAGAAAACAGCCAGAAGCAGAGACAGAGACATCTAGAAGAATCCAGCATTAACATGGCCAGACTGAGCTGGGAAGAGAGAGGAAGGGCCAAAGAGGAGTCACCGACCAAGAGGTGGCAACCTGGGCCAAGAGACTGGTACAGTCAAAATGGCTTGAGTTATATAGAAGCCAGAGGACCTAGGAAAAGGGGGAGCCCAGCCCTGTGCTGGAGAATTCAGGGTAGAGACAGGATATGCTAGCCAGGAAGACCCTGTAACAGGTAAGAACTAAAGGGTTCTGGGAGAACCTGGCAACCAGAAATCTGTTTTCTTATGCCAATAGGCATCTCAGCTGTTTGTCCTGGGTTTGAGACCTAACAGCTGTCTAAGGCAGAAGTGAAAATTAAGCCCTACAGTATCTCACAACAAATCCTGTCTAACAGACAAATACAGAGAAATCAAGTGTGTCCCTGCTTTTCAGAAGGAAAGATGAAGACAATCACAGACTGCAAATGTGTGATCTGATAAGGAAGGTGTTCAAGGCCATATGGCACACAGACAAGACTGACTTAGCCAAAACATGTCTTCTAAAAATACAGAATTGAAATCCTGGGTGGAGCATGCCTTGCCAGTTCCCCAGAGTCCCAGTTCACCACCATCATTACCCTGAGCTGTCAGCACCTGGAGGGATTGGAGTTCTCATGTTTGTTTCAGTGCTATGGAAAAGAGCAGGTGTCATCAAGAGATGCAAGGTAATAGGACAGTCTAGACTTTAGTTTATATCCTGGAACTATCAGGAAGCAGCAAGAAGGAAAAGAGAGAGGGTGGATGGAAGAACAGAGGGAAGAAGAGAGAAGGGGAGGAGAAAGGAGAGGAGAGGACAGGACAGGACAGGACAGAAGAGAGTGGAGGGACTGATACTCAGGGACAACTGAGTTATGCCCTCCTTCTGATAAAAGCGTTTTTGTTTTATCTCTACATCATTTTATTTCCCTGAATATTATAAAAGACACTCTTACAGAGAGAAGATCCATTCACATTCAGACCAATATATATTTGATAATGGATATTGATATTATTGAGCCTGAACGATACCCCAGGTACCTCTAAATACTGTAATAATGGTGATGAATATGACAGATAAAACTCCAGAAATTTCTAGTGACAGATAAATAAATAAATCATTGACCAGCTTAGCCAATTGATAGGGAAGTGTACTATATAGAAGAAAAGAAGGAGAGAGAGGAGGGAAAGTCAGAGCAAGTGATCAAAAACAAAGACAGAATGGAGAATGGAGAATTAGAATGCAGCCGTTTGTATATGAGCTCTATATAAGCTACTCTCAGGCTGGAACATAAAAAAAATGAGTAAGTCATGTGAAAAGGTCATGGGGAAGTAATTCAATGGCAGAGAACTTTTGGAGCATCTATGCGTCCTGGGTTTAACCCTCAGTGCCAGATAGATTAGATAAAAGATAGATAGATAGATAGATAGATAGATAGATAGATAGATAGATAGATAGATGGCATAGAAGGAAGCCAAAGGAGTTTGGGAACAGTGTGATCAGCAATACGAGAGGGTTGAGGAAGTCAAGAGCGTGAGGTTATGAAGGGATGTTGGGGGCATGGCGAGGACCTAATGTGGGATAATGCTCTTGTACATTGTAAAGATTTGTCATTTGTATTAATTTAATAAAATGCTGCTAGGCCAGTAGCCAGGCAGAAAGTCTAGGCAGGGCGACCAGACTAAGAGAATTCTGGGAAGAGCAAAGGTAGAGATGCAGTTCCAAGCTGGATGCAGAAGAAGTAAGATGAGAATGCCTTACTGAGAAAAGGTACCAAGTCACATGGATAAACATAGACAAGAATTATGGATTACTTTAAGCTGTAAGAGTTAAGAATAAGCCTGAGCTAATAGGCAAAACAGTTTATAATTGTTATAAGCCTTTGTGTGATTCTTTGGGACTGAACAGGTACAGGACCAGAAAAAAACAGAAATTTCCAGTGTCTAAGAAGTGTGGATGCTAAAAATAGAGATGGTTAGCGCCCAGAGAGATCATGAACATTATATTCATTTCCATGTACTAACAGTTACACAGTGAACTCTATCTATGTGACTATTCTCATTCAGCTTCAGTCAATATTAAATGAGTCAAATTAAAATGTAAAATGTATGTTTCACAACATGTCATCAGAGAAAGCCATTTGTCCCAACATAGTCTGTGTTTTTGTCTTGCCTTGTGAACTTTTCCTTCAAATGGCATGGGATGTGCACAGGACAGCACTTTCGAGAGCTGACTCCTATAGCCCATCTTCCCATCATTACCTTGGCCACCAGCACCCCATCTCCCATCCCCAGAGGAGACTTCCTTGTCCTGCCATCCTTACTTCTGGTTGCCTTCCACAGATAAAACTGTGAAGCTGTGGAAAGTCAGTGAGCGCGATAAGAGGCCAGAAGGCTACAACCTGAAAGATGAGGAAGGCCGGCTCCGGGATCCTGCTACCATCACGACCCTGCGGGTGAGTGGCTTGGCTGTTCCAGCCATGCCTTTTGGCAGTCTGGGTTACCAGGGGCAGGGAAATGCCCCCCTAAAGTTGGGCACATGCTGGCCACAGCAGCAAATTACAACTATAATATGTGGTTGAAGGCACTGGGCAGAGCCCCAGCCTGCTTGAGTCTGGTGGCAGATGGAGGGATGGGAAAGGTGCCAGGCCCTAATGACTACAAATCCATGTTTCTCCTTTGTCCCTAAGGACTTGCCACATGGCCACTGCCATCCGTTGCTGTATTCTTGGCCTGTCTATTTACATTATCTAGCATGTCTTGAATACCTTCTGTAGTTGGCAGAAGGGGCACAAAGCTGCTAGGTTGGAAGGTTTGCTCAGGAGAACCCAAGCATCCGTATCTAACAGACCTAGGTTCAAACTCTGCCACTTATCAGAACCTTACCCGGCTCTTGTGTTTGTCAGATGTTGTTCCTGTGCTATTTTATCTGACAGAAACTATTTGAAGGACAAATTGTTTATTTTAGCCCACAGTTTCGGAGATTTTTGTCCAGGGCCTGCTGAGTCCATTGCCTTCAGGCTGTGCTGAGGAAGCAGTAACAGCAGTAACGGCATATGTAGAGTGGACTCACTTCATAGTGGTCCAAACACAAAGGGACAGACAGACAGGATGAAGTCAGAGACAAGATACCCTCCAAAGACAAGTCCTTAGATCTCCTCTCTCCAACCAGGCCCCCTCTTCCAATAATTCCACCAAATTATGAACCCGACAAGAGATTGACTATGGTTGAAGAGAGCCTGTTTGATTAATCACCTTTGGTGATTAGATCCTCCACCACATGGTGACCAGACCTTCCACACATGAGCATTTGGGGAAGAAACTGCATTTAATACACAGCATTCGCCTAATGCTTTTGAACTTCGGTCCCGACAGGTTTCTTTTCCATTCTCCCCCTGCAACACTGGCCAGAAATCCTAGTGTCTGTGAACTAAAGGCGGAAGGCCCTTCCCCTGTTGCTGTTACGCATGGCATGTGTGTAGACTTTGCTCTCTGTCTGTGTGGCTTCCTTAGGGCCCTCCAGATGTGTATAGCCTGGTAAGAAGAGAGCTATTACAGGACTCACACTCAAACGGCCCTCAGTCTGCAGAGTAAGACAAATGTACAGACGGAGATTGAGAGTTTGTGCAATGGAGAAAGAAATGGCATTTGGTTCTGGAGGCCAGGAAAGGCCTCAGGGGGAGGTGCTAGTATAATAGATTTCTAAAAATGGGCCATTAAGAGAAGACTGTCTAGTGCAGTGGTTCTCAACCTTCCTGACGCTCCAACCCTATAATACAGCTCCCCATGGTGTGGCGACCCCCGAACATAAAATTATTTCATTGCTCCTTCGTAACTGTAATTTTGCTACTGTTATAAATCATAATGTAAATACCTGTGCTTCCCAATGCTCTTAGGAGACCCCTGTGAAAGGGTCACTCAACCCCAAAAGGGGTCGAGACCCACAGGTTGAGAACCGCCGCTCTAGCTGTAGGTAAAAGTGGTTTAAGACTGGATGGTTTGCTTTGAATCTGCTCAGTGTAAACAGTAAAGCAAGGCCATAGCGGGACCAGTTCTAACCCCGCAGGACTTTAGAACTGTAAACTATGTGCTTCCAGACGCCAGAGGACTAAGCCTGAAAGAGGGGTCACGGGAAAGCACGCGTGGGTGGAGAGAAAAGGTGTCACTCTAGCTCCACAAGCAAAAGTGAGCATTGTGATTATCGGCTCACGGGCCCATTCATTTATCCATCTATCTATTCCTCAAACGCTTTCGAACACTGCTGGCCCCAGCGCTAGGCCACTGGGGCTTCCCGTACTGATGGGCACCGTGTCTTTAGTTGTGTTCCTCCTGAGCTCACACTCAGTGGTCGCTGTGTCTTGATGCCGCCTCCCCATTTCTGCACCAGACCAGGTTGGGGAGGTTTCAACCTGCCCCGCCGTCATAAAAAGCATAATGATGGCTAGGAAGGTGCTGGTGGGCTGGAGAGGGTGAAAAGTATGACCCTGCTCAACTCTGGCTGGTGATGGTGGGCCTTTGGCTTGAAGCCTTGTATCTCCAGTGACCTATCTCCATCATGACTTATCATCAGTTAAGACACAGATGACAGTGGTCACTCTTCACTGGAGTTCAGATGAGATTCAATGAGACACCGTGTGTGAGAGACCAAGAGCTTCCCCTATGTGGTATCTGGCACCCAGAGAACGCTCCAAGTTAGCTGCCTATTTAGTGTTACCGTCAGCATCAGCATCACCAGCCATCATTACCATCAGCATCCTCACCATCACCACGGTGTCAGCATCACTTTTCTGACCCTCCTTGATAACAGGCCTGTATGTGTATGTGAGAGAGAAAGTCAGCTTTTGTTTTAATACTGTTTTATTCATTCCAAACGTTACTTGTGGATAAGTAAACACCTTGCTGGAAATCAGACAGGAATTCAGACTGTCTTTTGTCCCCTGGAGCATGGCAATCCTGGGAGGAAAACAAATGGACTAGGTGCCCCTGAGTTCTGCCAAGGGCTCTGCCTGTAGTGATACATTGTTCTGAAAACATCTCTTGCATGCAAAGAGACTATAAACTTTTCCAGACCTTGAAACCACGTTAATACACCTTGCGACCATTTCAGACTATGTCCTTCCTTGCTGTCCTCCTATGTGCTTGACCTGTTTAAGGTTAACCTGCCTTTAAGAGAGCAATGTAAACAATCTTAGTATGCCTGGGATTGCCCACATAATCATCTTTTAGAACCAAGACTAAAGCATAGCCAATCTTAAATTACATACTTTTCCATACCCTGGGCCCAGAGTAATGCCTCTGTGTACATGTGTGTTGTGGTAATCATTTGCTGGAAGCAGCCAATGGGCTGAAAGCGACTTTAAAAAGCAAACATCCACCATAAATGTTGGAAGCAAAACGGGTTTAGGTTGATAACGTCTGCAGTATTATTTGCTGTTCTGGATCAGTTGAGAATACCAACTTTTCCCCTTGTGAAATTAAATAGTTCTATAAAGTTCCCTCTTCTCTTTCCCATGCCACATTTTCTGAGCTGTTCATTAATGACAAAGAAACCCCACTTTTTGAGGGACAGACAGACATCAGGCACATGTACACACATACATACAACAGACAGACCAGTAACCACAAGCTACAGACAGATGGGAAGATACAGGGAGAGAAGCGAAAAATTTAAATTTGGGCTCAGTCTTGATCAAATTATTCCAAGGGGGAAGTACTTTGTTTTCATTTCTTAATGTGACATCAATGCGTTTTGGTGCCTCTGAAATTATCTTTAATGTGTTAACTGATACATCTGCCTTTGTTTGCTACGTGCATGAAATTTTTCAGAGGCCATCTGTAGTGCCCACTGTGGTTCCCCATTGCCAATGGCATGCTGTGGGATTCCGGAGATCTGTGCCTAACCCCCTGGAGGCTCCATCCCAGTGAGGGAGGAAAGAAGGCCTATTTACATTCCCTCTGGAGTAGAGAGCGAGAATGACTGAGGCAAAGACAATGATGCTAATGAAGTGGGCCCCCATCACCCTGACAGAGGCCCTGAGGTATGGTTACCAGTTAGAAAATAACAGTTCAAACTCCAGTTGTTAATAACAGCGGTGTGGCACTGGACAAGACACTCCGTTTTTTTCACCGTATGTTTAAGCTGCCAAGCAGAGGGTTGGGAAAAAAATCTCATTCTGAGACCCAATTTGCATTTTTGACACTTGACACTGGCACTTGTTAAAACACCAGGGTTGGTGGTCACTGGGTTTTAGCATCCACCAACTCCCTTAGAATTGTGAATTTTTTTTGAGCTGTTACTTTTCAATCATGTGGGCCATAATTATAATAATTTAGGAGACATATTTGCTATAAAATTATTTTACCCATGTTTCACTCAACTCCTCACTCTGAGGCCTGAAAATAGCACCTATTTCATGTAAATAGCCACATCTTTCACAGTCTCCCCTTTAAAGCTCCAGAAGGGCCATTCTCCCTTCCTTTTCCATCATGATGGAGAAAGAAGCTGAAAACAACAAAACAAACAAATAAACAAAAAAACCACTACCACCCGCAGCCCTAGGAACCCTGGGTTCGGGACCATGACCCCACCAGAGAGCGCTCCGATATGACATCAGTCAGACCGTAATCTACCAATGTTCAGCTCTTGAAATCTGCACTGCCAGCGATTGTGTCTCCCACCCAGCCACCCCCACGATGATTCCCACTTGCTCATTTTCACAGTATCCGATTCCACGTGGGTCTCAAGAGTAGGGACATTTAATAATACCCGACAGCTAATTAATCCTCACTGTGTAACGAACCCATCCTGTTTTATTTCTGAGAGGCTGAGCTTTTTTAAAGCAAGAATGCAAATCTGGCTTATTTTTTTCTTTAATGGAAGATGCTCTTTCAAATCCAATCACTTGTTACCCAAGGAGCCCAGGAGAAGACTGTCTCCCTGTTCAGTATCCTTATGTCCCCAAGATAATCATGATGATAATTGAGCAACACCCACTGGACGCCTTCTTACATAATGCCTCAGTTCATCTTCAGAACACACAATAAGGAGGACTGGGCAGGTGTTTGGCAAGCAAGTTGCTGGAATCTAGTATTTGCTGAGGCTTTGCTAGACACAAGCATGCTGTCTTCCTTGTGTGCCGTGACAGCTCCAAGAGGGGACTTCCAAGTTCAGCCTCCGGATCTGTAAAGGAGACATGGATCTGCTTTGCCACTGGGCCCTGACATCTGATGCAGGATCCAAAAGAGAAAGCAACGTGCTCCCTGTCTTTCTGTTGCTTGCCATTTCACGGCTGAGACCTAAACCAAAAGTCAGGGCTCTCAGCCTTATACACATACATTCGGGACTTTGAAATGCCTTTCTCTCATACGTATGTGTGTGTGGTTTGAGTAGAGGTGTGTGTGCAAGTTCCCATCTGTGGGTACACGTGTGTGTGCGCGTGCACGTGTGTGTGCGCGC